AAAAAAAAAAGAAAAAAAAAAAAAAAAAAAAGTGTCTTCTATGGAATGATACTTCCATATCAAGAATCATGGTAAATTTCTTTCTTGAGACTGAAAAACTAGTGTAGTCCTGGTCGTGACTTTATGCATACATATGCATGTCATGGTACATCATGTGAAGACATACCATGACATGGCATACTTAGTCATGACTTTGTGCATGCTTCACCTTTTTTCTTTGTGGTTGTTTTTTTTTTTAACTTTTTCCTCTCCCTCCCTGCTCCTTAAATAGTGGTCTGAGCTTTGGAGCAAATCTAGTTAAATTCAAATATTAGCACCTGCAGTCATTTTCTTTCTCTTCCTGTGGTTTTATTTGCTTCAAGTAATTGTCAAAGAGCGTTGTTACCGCACTTCCTGTTTGAAGCAATAGTGAACAGTATGCCGTCAAAGGATATAGAGGGTTCACCCTTAAAAGGAACTTTGTAGATGTTTTTAAAAAACAGCGGGCTGTTCTTAAGCTATGTAATTCATAAATAGCTTTATTCTAACTGACCCGCCACAGCATGCAGCATATTCCTGTTTGGATCATCTAAGGTAAATGCTCTCTAACCTGCTTTTTGCCAGTAAATGTGAAGAGCTTGGAGAGGAGATTGATTGCTTTTTTCACTCTTCCTCCTTTCTTGCTCTGTTTATTGCCTACCGAAAAGTTAATACTGCTTTAATAAGAAGAATTACTGGTACGGTAGGAGAATGTGCTCCACCCCCACTATCCATTAATGCAGTGTTTGCACTTACTGCCTTACAACTGGTATTTAACAATAAGCAGTAGTTTGGGTTTTTGCATTACATCAGCTGTTGTGGAACAGACTAAGGAGTAATGAAAATTGCCTTACTGGTTTCTACTTTAAATTTTAAACAATATATCCTTTTTAATTCTTCATTTCTTCATACTACTTAAAATTTCTATAAATGGGATTAAATGAAAGTTGTACATAGGGTATATAATCCTTAAAATTTGACAAAGTTGTTCAGCATGATAGTCCTGTATGTTCTTGCAGTGTGAATCATACACTGTAAAATAAGTTGCATCCAGAGCTCAGAAAGTTTAAGTGGGAAAAAGCAAATACGTGATTCACCATTTATCTCTCTGATTACCTTTGTGGTTCAAACAGAATAAACGCCTTGTCTTTTTGACATGAGCTGTGTGCTGTTCTGCCACTCTGAGCACCATAAACTGTGTGAAGAGCAAAAACAAAGAGTGACAGAGCTGTTGTCTTGAACTGTGTTCTTCAGCCTGTGTTGTCCTCTTCATCGGGCAAGTCTATATAGACAAAGCAGCAACACTTGTGAACAGCGCTGTATTAAAAGCTTGATCCTGTGACAAAGCAGCAAACTAGTTGTGAAGTATTGCACACATTTCAGGATCTCATTAATTGCAGCTAGGTTTTGGGTGCAGTCCAGGCTTTGCAGAAACACTTTCTCAGGAGATTGCTAGTTTGCTGACGCCACGTAATTACGTGACTGGTAGCTGTAGGTCAGTATGGTGCTTTTTCTCTTTCTTTCTTTGTAACCAATAATTTGGAGAACAGCAGAGTTTTCCTGTTCCAACTTGTTCTCTGAACAAGCAACTAGCAGTCCTAGTGTGTTGCTGTTGACATCGCAGTGCTGGTACGCCTTTTTGCCTTCAGTTTAATTGCTTTTTCTTTCCATTTTGGTGCAGCTGATTTATACCTGATCTTTTATATTAACTTGGCCACTGTAAAAATTATTTGTTTAGCATAGTAGGGGTGTATAAAATTCCAGTGCTCTAACAAATACTGCTAAGCTTTTGTTTGCATTTTAAAAGGTGCAATTACTGTCAGTTTTCTCCACACTTACAGGTATGTCATCCCACCACAGTTTTTGGGGTTTTTTGGGGTTTGTTTGGTTTTTTTTTTTTAATTAAAAGGCAACGGATTGAAAAACTGCTTGGTACTGGTTGCAGAACTGTGAAATTAAAGGCAAATGTGGCACTACACAGGCTATAGAAGATAAAATACATTTTTAAAAATTAATGTGTTGTCAGAGACTGTTAGTCACAGTCTCTAGTTTGGCTTTGTCATTCAGCAGCTTGTGATTTAAGGGGGGAGAGTCAGTGTCAAAGAGAACTCTGTCGTTGAGCAGACAAGTCCTGCATGCTGAGAGTGGCTGGATGGAGAAAGTCTTCTGCACCCTCGAGTATTCTGTACCAAGGAGGAGCCTTCCAGCTCACAGAGCATGCACAAGCCCTTCAGATTTGTTCCCAGGGCTTCAGCTCAACGCGACCCTTAATGGTGCAGCTGGCTGAAAGAGCATATCAGCTGTCAGTCAACAAACGAGGAGATGGATCGACACAAGAATTGCCCTGCCCTTTCCATGTATGTCTTCTGTACACGAATGTAACAGCAGGATGGAAGTTAGCCCTCTGTGAGAACAAGAATTTGATATGTTAAATCTAGACTTTGTCAAAAAGAGATTATGAGGAAGCAGTAATACAGAATTTCAGGATCTGCAAATCAGAATATTGGGTCACTTGGGCAGCAAGAGATGCAACTGGAATGTATCTGTTTATAGCCCTGGCAGGTTACAATATATTAAGACTTCAGAATGCTCTGACTTTAAGTACTTGCTTTCTCACTTTCTCATAATCTAAGCAGCTAGCATTGGGGGAACATTGCTGCATTTCAGAACAACTTGGAGCCTATCTTCTCAAAAGCAAAACCAACAAGTTTTAAGGAGATATAAGCTGTAGAGTAACTGGACTAAAATTTTCAATTGTTACATGCTCAACAGGAGTTAACCATGTTGTAGTTCCAATTTTGTTACATTTTGAATCAAGTTTAGAAAATAATTGTGTAGCATGCAAATTCTAAGACTATAGAGAACCATAAAGTATTTTCTTATCAAGCTTTTCTACATTAGTCCAGCTCTTGCTATTTAAAGTTGATCAAACTTTCAGTTACCAGAAGAACTGAGAAAATCAAGTGAAGCTACCTAATTATGAAGCAAGAACTTCCTCAGAGACTTTTACAGTTCTTTTCATTCTTGGATTTCACACTGTTGATTGATAATTCCCATGTTTTATTGCCGCTTCTTCACACGTACATGGGATTTAGATGATGATCTTTGAGGTTGGAAAAAAAAAATCTTTTAAGTAGTGAAAATGTCATATTAGCACTGTACTGAGACCTTTTTTTGAAGTGTCTGACAGAAGAAAAGGTGATGTAGAAGGATTTTTGGGGGTTTTTTTGTTTGTTTAGTTTGTTTCTTACGCTGAAGGGGTTCTGTTTCATAAAATTGCTTTGCTCTATATGGCATTAGTGATAGGAAAAGCTAGCAAAACATTTTTCCCCCCTTCCTATTCCCATCTTCAGACAAGAAATGCCACAAACAGGCATATAAATTTAATTTAAACACTACCAGTAGCTTTTTCAAAGCTAAGAGAGAAGTACTTTTGCTGGATTTTGCTATTTAGATGACGTTACTGCAGCAGGCATTTATTTCTTAAAGATCCTCTGTTAGTATCTTAAAAGGTAAGAAGCGGGAAAGCTTACCAGAGGCTTTGGACTTGGTATGGGAAAGGTGCTACTGTATTTCTGTATGTGTGCGTTGCAGCCAACCGTCCTGGCTAGTAGTGGCTGCACAGTACAGTAACTTGGTGTGTATGTAGTAGATGATGGACCTCATTTCTTATGTGCTTGGCATGTAGAGAACTGAAGAAGGAAGTAGCTAAGTGGGACTGCTCTGCCACAGAACGTGTGTACAGGTATATGTAGTTTATGTATCCCATGGAGTCTCCAAACCACATCATTCTGTGAGGAATTGCGTATAAATAATGATGTGTAGTTATGCACCCATTGCTGTGAATGAAGATGCAGTTGTATATAGAATTATTAAGGAGTATGCATGTAAAAACTTCTGCATACTCATTATCTCACTTTCTCTGCAAGTAAAGTTGGTGACGGATGGCACGATAAATGACCAGGGTGAAATCTCGCAGGAATTTTCATTGCACTCTTACTGAAAGAATTTGGGTTGGAGATTAACCAATAAACATTATTTTAGCAAAGGAATGGTTGGAATCTGTAGCCTTAGTTGTTCCACATGAGGAATTTCAGAGGTTTAAGGACACAGTTTCAAACTCTACAAGTACTCTTCTATTTTGAAGTCAACTGTACATGAAGCAGGAGGGTAGAGAGAATGGAAGGAAAATACCTTGAGTTGACCAAGTCCAGCCATTTTGCAAATTTTCCACATACAGAAATTTATTTGTTTCCTCAACATTTAGAAAAGCACGCCTTTGCTTGACAGCTGTGCGGCAGGGTTGGGTTAAATATTATTTAAACCTTGTGCTGTGAATGGACTGGATAACTTTTGCATTGAGAAGTATCAAGTGTCAATAGGCACAATTCCCCAAGAAGTTTAAAGGGGTGTATGGACAAAATTGTCACTTTACAAAATGACATTTGAAAGTTAAAAACAGTTCAGAGATGGCTGCCAAAAGATTGTACAGCAGTTCTTCTTACCACCTCGTTGAATCAAAGCTGGAATGTAAGCCTCATGCGGATTTCTGGTATATGTCACTTCTGGTACTCACTGTAGAAATAAGCATGTGACTTGTTTGCTAGTGTCTCTTTGGTCTGTGGTTAAAGAAATCACTGGTGTGGGTGGATGTCTGGGAGCATGAGATTCTGTATATTCGTTATTTTTGATGTAATGTACTTCTGTTTTCAGGTTCACATAACGCTAGAGACCAAAGAAGCATACATAACATTTCTGTGGTGCTGGGACCAACCTTGTGAAAGAAGACTCTAAAATAACTTTTTGCCTTCAAGTTGTTTATCCTGGGACTGACTTGGTTTTGTAGAAGAGCTCAACAGAGAAAAGATTTTCACGTTGGAACCATTATAAATAAACGTATTTCAACAACTTGCTACCTGGAGACAGATTTACGGAGGCTGAGTCCTGCTTTTCATCTGTGTTCCCACTTCAGACTGTAAACAATGAGTGAGTTTTGGTTGTGTTTCAACTGCTGTATTGCTGAACAGCCTCAGCCTGTAAGTATGAATATTGGCACTACTTTGGCTTTGTATAATTAAGTACGTTGTTTACATTTGCTGGTTTTCTTATGGCTTTTTAAATTTAGGCTGTTTGGCCAAGCTCAGTGAGAACTAAGGAATTAACTAACGTCCTGGCTTAGTGGGGACGAAAAAAAATGTCTGTTCTACACTGTTGTCACACAGATACTTTCCTGTCCTCGAGATCAATTCTATCCACAGTCTTTGAAAAGAGCACTTATTTGTTGGAAATGAAGAGGAGGGGCAAGGAAGGGAAGGGTGACAAGGACCTAAATTATCATTCAAAAGTCATTTTTGAGTGAAGATGTAAATGTCCTGAATTCTGTATAGCTTAAGGCCTGCCTTCAGGTGTGGCTGGACAATGATGAAGGAAGGAAATTATTCTGTTAAAAAGTCCAGAGTGACTCCACCTTCATTTAATTAAGGCTGAAATTCTTAATTGTTTTGTTAATTTTTAGAGGAAACCTTAGGAGAGTGAAGAAACGCAGTCATACTGTAAATACTTTTTTTTTTTTTTTGTAACTAGGATTTGGAATGCCTGTTGTGTGAAAAAGTACATAGCAAACAATTGGATAAAAGAACATTTCAAAGCATACATAAGGAAGACAGTACAGAAATATTCTTGGGTTTCATATACTTTAAGTACCTTTAGAGTGTGTTCCTGAGTCCAGTGCTGTGGGTAGAATGTCTGCCAGCACCAAGGTGCAGTTAGCCAGGAATATGGTTAGCACTGTGAAAAAAATCGTTGTAGCATCCAGGTCAAGCTAAATGAATGTACAGAAAGGACAGTCATCTTGCAAGTACATGGAAAAGAGCTCAGTTACCACTAAAGGATATTATAGTGACCAAGAGAATCCCAGAGTGAATAGAGCAAACTCACATTAATGTGCTCAGGTGATAATATTTGGCTTTAGGGAAGCCAAAGGATTAAAAAGAAAAAATCTAATATTAGGCATTGTCATTGCACAAAGCCTGAATGCCAGACTGGTCCTTGAGTGGTAACGCAAACATTAAAGTGTGACCAATGACATTTCTAACAAATTAATGCAACTTTATCTCACTCTTAGTCAATTAGAGTTGTGGGAGATGAACTCCGAGATACCAACACGGGAAGCTTCAGTTATCTCCTGTCGCTTGAATACCATTCAGTCCTTTAAAATGCTAGCTGTGTCCATATGTAGCCAAAGTTATTTGCCTTGTTTTGAAACATGTATTTCAATTAAAAATAAGGTATGACTGTTAAAAATCTTTGAGATAGAAAATAACATATTCTGTTTACAAGAATCCTGAAGTTCAGTCCATTATAAAATCTTGACTCAAGCTTTATGATACAGTTAAGTTATTGCCCAAGAACTACATGGTATGTTAATGCAGCTTGTAGTCATCTGTGGGTCATGACTCATGGAAAGGATGGAGAATGTACTTCAGAAGTGGAGAGAAGGGAAACCACCCATGTTTCTGTTGATCTGGTGGTGTGCGTTTGCTCAGAAAATTAAAACTATCCTTATGTTTAAGATACAAACAGCACATTGCTGGGCATTGACCTAGTTCCTGAAATCTGCCTTTCAAATGTTGTAGGAGCCTTGCTTGTTATGAAGTGCCAAAACTATTTAGGATGCATCTCAGAAAAGAGAGTTGCAGGCTGTCCTTGGCACGTTTGACAACAGGCACTTACTTGTCTGTCCCCTGCAGTTACTCAGCTCATTCTGCTGTGTTGTGTTGCACAGCCGTTGTTCTGCCATGGACTGCTTCAGTAAATGGAGTGTTTAATCAGATACATACACATCTGAGTAAGTGCAGGAATGGTTTTCCTCTCCGAAATGTAGCAAAGTGCTGTCAGTGTGAGCAAACTGATAAACCAGACAAGTGGTAAGGAAGCAGTTTTTCCCTGTCTTTGAAGGTGGTGTGTGATTGCATGTTTGGGAGACTTACATGCTGCAAAACATGCTAGTTTTTAGCCCAAAATACTGGTACTTACTGCCCTGTTGTATCAAAAGATAGGTGAAACATGCAAACTTCAATAAAAGCTACTTCTCTGTCCCCTACCGTGCATTCAGTCTGTCAGTTTAGTCCAGTTGCTCAGCAGAAATGCCTCTTCTGCCCAGTTTCATCTCGTTCATGTGCCTTCTTTCATTTTACCTCCTGCATCTTAACTTCTTCGTGGCCTGACTGACAGTGTCCCAGCCATGACTTTCGTGTTCAGCCATTACATGTTCAGCGTGCTCCTTCTGTGGCAGGACTAATGTGGTCTTGCAGCAACACTAACAACCACCAGACTGAGAATAAAGACCTTGAAAGCAGGAAGTTACTTGATTTGCTACTTGTTCAGATCAATGCTTAAAATGTTACTTTTGTTTTTAGACTTACATTCTCTAAAACATGATTTTTCTTCTCATTATATTTGTAAGATGCTGATATCAGGGACACATTTAATGTCGTGGACAGTGACATAAATTTTAAGCCTCTTCACTGGAGAAAAAAAAATCTGGAACTTTTAGTAGTTGAATGGTTTTGTGATATTTATAGTTTCCATTAAACTAAGGGGTTTTCCTCCTCTCTTGAAATCCAGGATGCAGGAACTGTCTTTGTTGCTTCCTTCTGGCAAAATTCTAGCATATTATATTAGGAATCTTCAGTACGGTACCTCTATTCTTTGCAGCTGTAGTGCACTTAAAATAAAAAATTGTGTGTACATGCACAGAGTCCTTTCAGTCAATTTTGTAGAAGGGTATTATTCGGACTGTACACAAGGCATTTTCTAGGTTATTGACAGTACTCTGTATGCCTTCCAGACTTGCATACTGGTGCTTTCCAGTGCATTTTCATGGTTTTGAACCATGTCTTTTTAGATAAGATTTGCAAACTTTATGGCAATAAGAACACATTACTTAACGTAATTTCACTGCCATCACTTTCCTAATAGCGTACGCCAGAGCAGAACAGTAACAATGTTGCAGATATATATTAGTGCACTCTGAGAGGTTCCCTAATTAAAAGACGGTATTCAAGTATTACCATCATCTTTTACTGAAATGTATCACAGCACAGCTTTTTGTCTTTTGTCAGTGCTAAATGGATGCACCATGTTGCTGTAAAATAAAACATAGGTGTCTTGGAAAGCAGTCTTCTACTGTCTCTCCTAATGTTACTTTGGTTGCTAAATATTGCACTTGGTGTCTCCAAGACTGCAGTACTCTTACTAAGATCGTTGAAGGGGCATGTTTGAACATCAGTCTCTGTGCTTCTTTGAAATACGGTGACAAATAAAGAAATTGGGTATGCAAAGAAACACAACTAAATAGCGATAACAGTTGAAGGAAGCATTTTCCTGGTGGTGGCTTAGGGTCTTACTTCTTAATAGCCTGAGGTCTTTACCGCAGTAGAATGCAAATAGAACTATGCCAAAGGAAGGTGTTGTCTTACCAGCTTCTAGTTTTCTCTTGTCAGATTTGGATTGATAATAAATTTTACCACAGTTAATTCTTCAGACAAGTAGTTTCTTTCATAAGTGTTTTCATACCAAAGAGGTAATTATTAATCTATTAGTAACTATGTTCAGGTTTTCTTGGCTGTTTAAATGGCCTGAATTCAGTCTCTTATGATCTGACCCAAACCTTTTTTTATTTTGAGAGAGTAGCACTTTCTGTGATTGCACCAGGTTTCTTACACCTCCCACTTACACCCTTTATAGGTTCTGTAAGCTGATCTTGCACTTCCCAGTGACAAGATAAGTCTTTCTTCCCGTGCTTCCTATGTGCTATAGTCCCATCCACTGCTGCATTTCAGTAAGCTCTGCCAAATCCCCACTACCAGGTGCATTGCTTGATAACAGAAGTTCAGAGAGACTTTTGTCTTGCAGGTTTTAGGAGAATGCATCTCTGGTTTCTCTCTTAGGCTGAGCTCATCATCTGCACAAGGAATCTCTTTTTTTCCTGCACTTTTTTTTCATGTTCTGTCCATTTTTAATTTGCAAAGTTAATTTTTGGTCAGAGAAGCCTTTGGTCATGATCTGGTGCATTCCCACCTGGTTTGGGCCACTGGCCAGTACAGCTGAGCCCTGCAGTTTCCTTTGACCTTGGAGTAAAATTACTGCTCTGCTATAAAAGAATAAACTATGTTCTCCTCTTTCTTGTTCCGAGCTTCCTTCTCTGGTTAATTAGTTTCTGTTTTGTTGCTTGTCTCTTCTGTAGATTATTTCCATTTTGTATTTTGTCGAAGGGCTGTTTCGGTTTTTCAGCATGCGATGCCATAAATGTGGTTTAGAAAGTGAGGTTTCCTTCAAGTTTAGGGTTTTTTTAATGTATGAAAAAAGTACAGATAGATCTGTATTTAGAGTGGGGAGGCCCATCTTAAAATACAGGCAGAAAAAACCCTGCACATATTGCTGTATTTATCAGCTGAACTGAATGTTGAATGCTACAGAAGACAAATGATCTTGACTGTGGTTACTTAAGGAAAAAAAACACTGACGGATATTGTCAGCTCTAGTGTTTTTTCTAGAGAAGGAGTCATAGATATAAATATAGCTAAAGATACATCTACCACTGCAGGTCTTAAGAACTCGAACGATAAAGATAACGAAGCATTCAGTATGCATAACAAATACAGAATAAATAACCCTCAGTTGGCATGCACAGTGGATCAGGTGTTTGCTTCTGAAGCAGTACTGGGCCAGGGTCACCATTCAGTACGGCAGTGCTGTGCAAGTGCATCTTTTGGGTCCGGGTGACCAAAACTCAGGCTGTCTTATTCATTAAATCTGATCAGCCTACCACATTCAGTGAGCCTGTGGAAGACTCAAATGTGAAAGGTGACAACTCTAGAGAGCCCTCAGATTTCAGAGTTGTCATACTGAGTTACATGTTGAGCTGCCAGAATTCCTTCTTTTTCCTATTTAGTGCTGTTGTAGAAGCAGCCTGAGGGAACACCTTAAAAAAGGGGGTAGCATTAAACAAGCAGTAAAATGTTTGGCTTGTACT